TAAGTCTGAAGGAATACAAAACAATATTAGCTCAGACTCAGTCCAAGTGTCAGTCTTAGATGGGGAGACTCACCTGAACTTTGTTCATTCCTTAGGCTACTATTATGAAACAATGCGGAGGAGGAGGGGCCGGCGCCGGAGGCAGCCGCCGAGGAGACGGATGCATTGGAGCTGGTCGGCGAAGTGGAGGCTGTGCGATGACTGGACGCTGCAGACATTAGATCGGTACTACTATCAGTCAGTTTTGGCGTGGCCAGGTGTGCAGGCGTGTGGTGTGTTAGTGCCGCGGGATGTGTCAGGTGCGTATGCGGATGCGGATGCGTATGCGGACTGGGGGCGGGCTGTCCAAATGCGGCGGCAGCTGCAGCAGCCGCTACAGCGGCGGCCCCGACGCCATTATAGGCAAACGGATGATACGGCGAGGGAGGTGACAGTCTCGCGGCTGCAGCCGAACTGCTGCTGGCCTGTGGATGCGGCGGCATTAGCGGCGAGGCTCCCGCCTGGTAATGGTGCACCCACAACGGGTTGTGCCGCAGGGCCGCCAGTGTGGATATGTAGGGATGGTAAGCGATGGCGACACCACCGAGGGAATGTAGGCGGCAGCAGCCGCTGCTGCAGCCGCCGCCGCAGCGGCTGCGCTGCTGCCCGATGACACAGGCACCGTCGGGCTGCCCGATGATCCATTGCCGTTCACCTGCGGCGGTGGATACATATAGTAGTGCAAGGGCGAGCCGGAGGCTGGTGAACTACGCTGCAGATGCATCTGGTGGCGCCGATCTGGTGGCGATGTACTTCGGTCACCGGGCGACGGACAGCTGCTGCTGCTGGCCGTTGGCGAGGCAAACTCGCGGCGTATCGAGGCAGTCTTCTTGGGAACGGTGCGAGGTGTGGTGGCGGGGGAAGCTGTTGTGGAACGGGGCGGTGAAAGATCTTGCGACGCCACTCCTCCGTGTGAAATGTGTGGCGAAACGGCTGTGCCAGTCGACGTCGATGATCGACCCCCTGTTCCAGAATAATGATCTCTATAGAAGGAATGCCCATAGTCCACGGGCAGCGGCGACCCAGTCGTGTACGGGGGAGAGCGTTTCTTGCTGGCCGCATGTGAGGGCGACTTTCCACCGCCGACACCACCGCCATTGCTGCCGCTCACTTCGGGCGACTTGGGGGAGCTGAGGAGGGATCGTGGATAGTTTCCGGAATTGGCGTACAACGAATGCTGGTGATGCACATTGCTGATGATGGCCGCCGGATGGTCGATGGTCTTCTTGGAAGATGAAGAGGAGGACGACGAGGAGCTGCCACTGCTTCCGCCCAAGAGCGAGTGTATGCTGTAGGAGCTGTTCAGGCGTGTGGGCTGCTGCGAGGCCGCAGCCGGTGCTGGCGATGTAGTGGGTGTGCTAGTGCTAGTGCTAGGCTTTCCTTGAGGCGGTGCCAGATTCATGGGCGCTGACTTGCTGGGCGGTGCCGAAGCCTTGGCACGACTCCGTTTGCCACCGACCCCTCCACTGCTACTGCCTCCGCTGCCGCTGCCATTGTTCACGCAACCATTGTCCTCCAGCGACACCTTCTCAAACTCGCGCAGGATGCGCTTTCTGGGCGAGACATGCTGATGATGGTACTCGACTAGACGGCTGACTGCCGCGGCCGACGTTGGCGGCGAAACCTAAAAGATATTGTTAGTTGTCAGTTAATGGAATGCTCTTTCTGGTCCAATTATAGGGGGCAACTCACCTTGTGCGTCAGAGAGTGACTTAGATTTCCGATGGCTCCGCCACCGCTGCGCTCTGCTGCCGTGACTGCCGCCGCTGTCGACGCTGGTGTCTTGGACAATTGCTCTAGACGTGCTGGCACCCCATCGATAAGTTTCTGAATGATGCTGTTGAGCTTGGCTCTGGGTTTCGGCTTTTTAAGTCTTCTGTTGTCTGCCCGTGGCGTCTTGTGATCGCCATTCAGATCGCTGCCAGTGCTGCCGTTCGTACTGATCGAAGGCGGTATGGGAGGTTCATTAACTGTCACCGACATGGCCTCTTCGTCCTCACTCGTGTTCATCTTTTCCGCAGTCGCCGGTGCTGTCGCCTCAATCGTGGGCTCGGCATTTACTTTCGTCTCTGCATTCGGCACAGAAGCTTCCTCTTTTGACTCGCGGCTATCATTGATTTCGGCCTTGTTCGACTCCGTTTCTGGCATTGCTTCCGTTTCTACTTTGATCGTTTCTGGTTTAATCTCATTTGCAGTTTCTGCAGAAGCTTCTGCTGCAGCGCCAGTGCCAGTGTCAGTGGCAGTGTCGCCTTCTGCAGCTTCTCCGCCTTCGGCCTTTAGTGTCTCATCGCCATTTTCAGCCTTGACCAACTCGAAGATCGGCTGCAGATCTTCGCTATTGGCAATCGGCTCGTGGGGTCGTCGTCTCTTGCGTAATGCTGTCTGGAGGGCAGCCTTGCTAAGGACACTGTGCCTGGGACGATGGTAATAGAGCGACAGTTCTTTGGATATGCCGCGTCGTGGTCTGGACTGTTTCCAGGGCTGGTCCCGTTGCCACGGCGATGATTGTATCGAGCTATTGTCATCCGAAACTGCAAGAAACCGAATAATATTTTGCTCAGAAATGCACTCGCATCATGGTATATTTAGTTGTAAGTCAAATTCCAAACGGGGAGGCCAAACACTTACAGCTCAGAGATGTGGAATTCTCGTTCTTTGGATACGTTGTCGTCACTGCAGACGTTGGGGTCACGGTGGCCGAGGTGGCCGCAGATGGGGGGCGAAAAGTTTTGCGCGTTACAGAGACCCATCCGCTCTTATCGCCGTCCTTCGAACGTGCCAGTTCCAATATGAATTTGCCATCTGTTGCGCAGAAGATGGATGTTGTTTGTTGTTTTATCTTGACGGAAATGGGTTTAAGTTTATGTTTTAAACTTGCCTTTAAAGAACTGCAAACGACCGCCGTAGCCGGCCGTGCTGTTGTTGCTGTGCGTCGATATCGGATGCCTGCCCATATCAAAGCTGCTGCTCATGCTGCTGCCACCCTTCCCGCTCTTCAACGATCCTGTGGGCGCCATGGATGCGGCGGCGGTGGCGGCACTCGGCACACTGCTTAAGGAACTGTAGTCCAGCACACCACCCATTACATCGACAGGCTTCGGAGCAGAGCCGACGAGGGCGCTAGTCGCTGCCACCGTAGCAGATGCCGCCATCGCTGAGGAGCTGCTGCTGCTTGTTGGACTGTTACTGCTTCTAGTTGTCTTTGTTGTGGGCGTGCTGACATGCGGCAAAAAGCCATTTGACGAGGCTGGAGCTGATGATGATGATGACAATGATGAGGAGGGCGTCGGCGTCCTGCCTGCTGTCGTGCTAGTGCTCGTGCTCGTGCTCAGGTTCGCGGGCAGGGGCGGGGGCAGTGGAAAGCTGCCGTTCAAACCATTTTTGAGTAGAAACTGTGCTGCCGCCTCTGCAATTATGCGTTCGTTGTTGCTGTTGCTGTTGTTGTTGTTGCTGCTGCTGTCGTTGCTATTGTTGTTGGAATTGTTGCTGCTGTTACTGTTAATGGTACTTTTATGCTCATCGGTCATTGTTGTCTGTCGTCTGTTGCACTCTGTTACAATTGTGACGTCATTTAGAGTTGGCCTTCAAAGAAAAACATTTTCATGTGTTGGCAAAATGATTTTCGTTGGTTAAAAATTTACTCCAGCTCGATTTTCTAATTGGTTTCATACAATTTAAATACAATTTTCATTTTGTTTTTGTTGTAAATTCCTCGCGCACAGTCCGCAGCCGGGACATAACTCAACGTCGACGGCGTCGCGTATCAAAATATGCCAGCTCGGCACGGCAATGGGAGCGTCTGGTCTGGGTAACATTTTCGTGTTTTGGAAGCTGAAACAATTTACTTTATTGCACACATGGCCTATAGCATTTTCGGCCGCCGCTTATCGTTGCATTTACTTTGTCTTTATATGTTTTCACGCACAGAGTTTACTATTGGCATAGGCATTGGGGCTGGCTGCTGCTGGCGGAAGAGCACAAAGAGAGCACAGCAAGAGCAGAGCACAAAACGAAGTGGGAAAAGGAGGAGATAAAATAGGAAAAAACGTTCTCCAATTACCATCAGCAGATATCGATATCCGATAATGCGCGTAATAGGCTGAGGCCACGTGCTGCGACCAAGCTGGCCAGCAAACAAATTATTGATCACTGATTTAAACCAATAAATTAAATAAATAAATTTAAAATTATCAACGAAAAACGCAGCTCAGTGTGCGGACAGTGTGACCGTGAACTGAGAACGCGAAAATACCAAATGCCAAAATGGCACTAAAACTTACAACAAAATACCAAAATGGTCATTGTATTATTTAAAAATATTAAAATTAAACTTTGTTTATTCAAGAAAATCCTGCCTCCTTTTGCTATGGCGCCACTATGACAATTTACAAAAATCACAAAGTTTTCTTTCGTAAAATCCTTTGCAAATTCTTCCCCTTAATCCAAATCGGCCCAGTTATTCTTAGTTTGATTACTGATTTGAATCATAGATTTAAATATACCCTGATCTTGGTTATAACGTTCCTGAAACACGTCGGTTTTCTTGGGGGGTCCAAAGTTGGAAAGACTTCTTATTATTCTTCCAATTTGTTATTTATTTATAATTTTTTGGTTCGTACGAAAAAATGGGGAGCTAAAACTACTGCCATTAGTTTTTCCCAAGGTATAGTCCAAGAGAAACCGCAGTCCCTCGTCAAATCTTTCATCTCCACCCACACGAAAATAACGGGAATTCCTTCCAACCATGCTAAACGCCGGCTATATGACCCACATGGCTTAGATGGTATTAAACCACTTTACTGATTCTTCATCGGTAAATTAAAAATAAATATTCGTTTATAGAATAAAATGTTTATTTAAGTCCAGAAGATAAACATCAAGCGATTATGTTATGTTATGCTAAATGCATTCACTTTAGCTAGATAAATACTTATGGTTTGCAAGTGTCTTTTATTGGGTTTAATACTGTTTGCATGCTACGATTCGGATATTTCAATGATGAGCACGGCGGAATAAAGTATATTTAAATAGCCTATACTATACGTATGCGTGTAGCTGGAATACAACCCTTCATATCTTCACATCTTCTTCTGCTTCTTAAATTTAAACACAACTCCTTTTGTCTCATCTCTTCCTAGACTCAACATTCTCAATCGATGAGCCGCGATACACCTAAATATGTATGTATTTCTAATGCAAAATATAATATAAATCTTATGCGTCTACATACTCGTTTGTATAATATTATGTAGCGTGGGGGCGGGCATGCTGCCATGTTAGATTCGAGTTGGGTTTTGATATGGGTGAGAAGTCGTCAATTGCACAGGAATACATAGTTAAGAATAGATGCTTAGTAGGTATTGCACAAAGTAAGTATTGTAAAATCGTCACAACAAAGGGCACACAATATATAAAAAAAAGTTAAATTTAGTTTTTCTTTCCATTTGCCAACATAATTTAAATATCACAGACGTTTTGCCAATTTTTTAACTAATTCTCCATTTTGCGTGTTAATTTTGTATGCCAAATCGGGAAGTACAGAGTGAGGTGAGGAATAAGTCAGTAAAGAAGATACTTAGATTCATAAAAAACGGTTCCAACCGCTGTTTCGATGCACCCTACAAGGCTCAACCTGGTATTATGCGAGGATGACCCCTTGTACAGCGCATGGGCACCGCACCCAACCATAATCCCCATCCGGATCGGGTCGAAATATATACTCATACACATCTAAATGTCAGTCAAGTGTTGAAACGAAATCAAGTCTTGTGTTGAACATGGCACATAATTGCTAAAAGGAAAACTGGAGTCAAGCCTATGAAGGTGAACCTCTATCCTTATCATATAAATGGGTTTATGTATATGTAATACTATGTATTCTCGACATTCTGGAAGAATTCGAGCGTTAAGTGTATGAAATGATATCATTCTGTTGGGTTCATCTTAGAGAATCTCTCTTACCATCCCCGCCTAGTGCATGTTGTCCAATCTGCCCGATGGCAGACCCAAGGCGGCGCTCAAATTTAGTCCTTGTGGAACGGCGACGCCAACGCCGACACTAACACCTGCACCCAAGTTACCCTCACTCTCACTCTTCCAGGAGGAGACCGGTATGTGGGGAGCCGGCAAGCAGTTGCGCAGCGTTTGCACAATCTGAATTGTGTCCATGAGTGCTGCAAATGCAAAGTCAGTGTCTAATATCGCAGACGAATACAAATACGAATAAACCGGTTATCGCTTTACTTACTCTTCTGCAGACTCTCGCTCTGCTTGCCGTAGGGCTTGCACATAGATGGACGTATGTAGGTCTTCATGCGAGACATGTTCCGCATAAGTTCGGAAAAAATGCGTACAATCTTGTCCTGGCCAACAGCCATGTGGTCCAAGCGATTGGCATCACTGGTGGCCCAGGCCCCGTTGTGCAGGGCCAGTAGATCTTTGTTCGACTCAATCGAATCAAGATTTGAGCTGCAAGGAGAAAAACTCGCACTAAGAACTAATAAATGCCAAAAATCTAAACTAACCGCAAGGAATCTGCTGCATTCTTATGTGATAGCTGATCCAGCGACGAGTGCGAGGAAGACGATGAAGATGAGTGCGGCGACTGCGATGGTGGTGGCATTGGATGGTGATGGGTTTGTGAACTGACACCGGAGCCCCCGGACGTGGATGTGCTGGTGGCCGGAGTCGGCTGCTGATTTGCGGCCACGGCAGCGGCCACTGCCTGCGATTGCATTAGTCCCTGGATCTGTAAATTGGCTGCTGCTGCGGCCACGGCCATGGGATCAAAGTGCTTAGGATCCAGTTGAGCAAACACACGCTGCTTCTCCAGCGGACTCAAATTGCTTAGCTTCTCAAGGCTCTGCTGGGCGAGCACTCGATTTTGTTGCTGTATCAGAGCCGCCGTAAGCTGTTGCTGGTGCTTGGCCTGCGCCTGGGCCTGCTGCTGTTGTTGTTGCTGTTGTTGCTGCTGCTGCTGTTGCTGCTGTTGTTGTTGCTGTTGCTGCTGTTGATGATGTGCGGCGGCAGCACTGATCTGTGAGAGCTGCGTCTGGATGCTGTTCTGCTGCTGCTTGGTCAGATGCTGGAGTTGCGGCGGCACTGGAACCTGTGTCACCTTGGAGCCCGTCGACTTGGATAAGTCGATTTCCACATTGCTTGAGCTGGTGCTGCTGGCAGCGCTGGAAGCAGAGCCAGCTGCAGCATTTCCTCCGGCTGCACTGCTGGGCGGCAGATGGGAGAGTCGTTGCAAAAAGTCGGGCGTATTCACGCCAGGATACTGTTGCTCCATGAATGGCATGGGTGAGATGCCCATATGGTTCTTGTAGTAGCGGCAGGCGGGGCTGGGGCACGACTGGACCACCTCGATAATGAACTCCTTTTCCATCCCGAACTGATCCCGCCCAATCGTGTAGGACTCGATTACAGCCCGCACTGTGGCGTCCACACTTAGATGAAGCCCGTGGGGACCGGACATGTGCTTTAGCATGACCGCATTGGCGAAATGCTCAAACGGCAGAACAATCTTTCCATTATCGCGCAGAATCAGGCGACCCTGTGAGTCTAGCGTCAGTCGATTGGCCAAGACCCTATTAATGAAGAGGACGAACTTGATTCAGTGGAGGGTATTCATATAAACTTACAACATTTGTACACTTACTGCAGATAGGCGGCACTGGGCAGCATGGCGTTGTCCTTCAGATCGCTGAAGCACTGCAGCAGCTCGGCGCTCGGGTTCCAGCCCTTGTTCTGCAAATAGAGCTGCAGCAGCATGTAGAGCTTCTCGGTCACATAGCCCACGCCGGGAAGTCCGGCATTCGGCTGCGGCAGCATGTCGCTGTGCGATGACCCACTGGCCACGCCCCCGACGCCGGGACCCTTGGATAGTGCCGCCTTCATCGTCTCCGAAAGATCCAATTTATAGTTTTCTGGGTAGAAGTGCTTGACGTGCTCCTGCAACAATTGATACACAGGCCGCACACCATGAAACCCCACACAGACACGCCTACACATACACAAACGGCCACCACCACTACCACCCACTTACCAAATTGTTCATTTTCGGCTGTGGGCTACTGTCTGGCTACTGCAGCGGCATCTATTCGCTGGGACGCCACCAATGCATTTTGGATTCGGGACTCTAACGGCTCTTAGGAGTTCTCCAATTGGAATAGGGACGAGACTGCACTAATTGGGAGGCACAAAAGGAGAAAAAATTGTGTTGTCCTTGCAAGCAGTTGTCCTTATTGGACCTATCGATAAAATATACCTCAAAAATATACCGCCTACATTTCAAAATATACCGCAAATATACCGATGAAAAAACGAACTTAGCCCACCTAAGCCCCTTTTATTTATTTGGGTGCACACCTTGAGGGAAACGCGACAAATAGTTCTGGTTGTAAATTCTTCTTGACGATTCATCAAAGAACCCTACGATATCTTTCCACTGAACTGGGGTATGGTTATGGTTATGGGTTATGGTCAACAATGGGTTAATTGTTCTCTGTCCATGATCGGAAGTCATATTACTCAATTCAGATATTCGGTTTAACATTACTACTAGACAGGACTTTCAGCTTTAAAACATTATTGTTCACTTAAAACACACCTAGTTTAACCTACTTCCTTCGAGGTTTTTATTTTCGATTTTCCGTCCTTTGAATAGGACTTACCATACCCCAAATTTCTTTCTCATAATAAGGACACTCTAATTGTTTTTTGAGAATTTTTTCGATGTCCGGTCGCGACCTTGTCGTATGATTGTCGTATTCATGTGTCGCATTTTTGAAGAACGGAAATTTGAGTTATTTCAATTAAACTGTTTTCCTCAATCTACTTTGATGAATATTACTACTATTTCTTTTTTAATTTATGCTAATATAGAGGAAAATTAGGTACACCGTTTTCTTTGGCTTGTGCCGGAAATAGTAGTGCCTGAAGTGTACGATTTAGTGTGTCGTATTCAAGTGTCGGCGAGTGTACATACATACTGGTTGCATACTTTTTGGATGGATGTGACGGGGACCACTTGACGGTGCAGTAATTGTATCGCCTCTTGCAAGATGCAGACATTGCATGTCAACGTCCAAGCAAGCAGAAAGACAAAATAGATCAAGTTTATTTTCCCATCCTTCCCTGCCAGAATAAAGAATGCCCCCCTGTCGCATGTCCCTTTAAACATTTGTACATTCCAAGTGTTACTTGGTATTAAATGGGTTTGAAGGACGCAGGATTATTGTTCTCCGCATCACGTGGAAATTAAAAATTTTGACTATGTTAACGCCGCAAACGTCATCTACAGAGAGTTTATTCAATCTAACCGTGACTAAGACCTGAATCTCATCTGATTTGAATGCTATTTAAATGTATGCCAAAAAAAAACTCGTATATATTTTATCGCTGCATCGATTTAGTATCGAACTATTTCCCAGCGAAATCGAATCGTATAATGGCACAGATCCTCTTAAGGTGGATAGTTCTTGTGGTGAACATATTGGGGGGAGTCGCTCTGAAGGATACGGTGAGTGCTGTGTCTTGGCTATTTCGTTCTTATGATTGCATTGTGCTGCCAGGGCGACTATATCAGGATGCACAACTATCCCGTGGAGAAGCATACGGCGGTGACCCAAGATGGTTACATACTTGCCCTCTATCGGATTCCGAACTCTCCTCGCCGTCCCAGCACGTCGGGACCGAAGCCCGCCGTCCTTTTCGTCCATGGCATGACTTGCTCCTCTGACTACTGGGTGATTATCGGACCAGACCAAGGTCTGCCATTCCTACTGGCCGACGAAGGCTATGACGTTTGGCTGATCAACAGCCGGGGGAACATCTATTCACGTAAGCACCTGACCATTAGCCCTAATAGCAAGGATTTCTGGCAGTTCGACTGGCACGAAATCGGAATATATGACACCACAACCTCCATCGACTTTATACTGAGTATGACTGGACAAACGGCTGTCCACTATGTGGGCCACTCGCAGGGAGCTACTTCTTTTCTGGCGATGCTCTCGATGCGACCTGAGTATAATATCAAAGTGAAGACGAGCCATCTTCTCGGGCCGGTTGCTTTCAGCGGAAAAATGCCATCAAAGCTATTTAAAGCTATAAATAACTTTTACCTTCAGCTGGGCGACATGGAGTTGAAGTATAATACTCCCTTTTGGAGCAGAATATTTTCGTCCCTGTGCACCGTACTCCTTCTAAGACACATATTATGCCGAAATGTGGCCTTTCTGATTTCCGGCGGTTCTTCAAGACATTTAAATATGGTTCGTGCTGTCCGCTAATCATATCATATCGATCATACCATATCAGTTATCTTTCCCAGACACTATTGCCGGCGATGGCGGCCACTGCTTCAGCGGGTATTTCAACTCGACAAATTAAGCATTATGTCCAACTTATCGATTCCGGACGATTCGCCCTCTTCGACTTCGGAAAAAGGGACAATCTCGCCATCTATGGCACCACAGATCCACCAGACTATCCGCTAAATGAAGTAAACCCTTTGAGCCCCATTGATTTTTACTATAGCGAAAACGATGGTATGGCATCCGTGGAGGATGTACTGCTGACCATCGATTCTTTGCCCAACGCCCGGGGACATCGTCATCAATTTTCCGACTGGGGCCACATTGACTATGTGTTCGGCAATAATCTAAAGTTTTATGTTAACAATGATATTGTTAACATTGCCAATGCATTTGAATCTCGTTTAAGCGAAGCTAATCAGCATCACCGCTAATGAATAAGTAAGAGTAGTACCAGTAGTACCAAGATATATAGAAGATACATCCAAATAAAAAATTTTTCTATATGATTATCGTATTCAAGTGTCTCATTTTTTAAGAACGGAAATTTGAGATTGAAATTAGAGATTTGAGGAAAATTAAGTTCACCGTTTACTTTGGCTTGTGCCGGAAATAGTAGTGCCTGAAGAGTACGATTTAGTGTCTCGTATTCAAGTGTCGGGGAGTGTACATACATACTGGTTGCATACTTTTTGGATGGAGCAAGTTTATTTTCAATATTTTCCAGTCCCCCTTCTACACACCTGAAATCAGAAAAAAAAAAACGCAACACACATAAACCAGAATAAAGAATGCCCCCCTGTCGCATGTCCCTATAAACATTTGTATATTCCAAGTGTTACTTGGTATTAAATGGTTTTGAAGGACGAGGATTAATGTTCTCCGCATCACGTGGAAATTAAAAATTTAGATTACATAAACGCCGCAAAAACCGTGACTAAGACCTGAATCTCATCTGATTTGAATGCTATTTAAATGTATGCCAAAAAAGATCTCGTATATATTTTAACGCTGCATCGATTTAGTATCGAACTATTTCCCGGCGAAATCGAATCGTATAATGGCACAGATCCTCTTAAGGTGGATAGTTCTTGTGGTGAACATATTGGGGGGAGTCGCTCTGAAGGATACGGTGAGTGCTGTGTCTTGGGGGCTATTTCATTCTTATGATTGCATTGTGCTGCCAGGGCGACTATATCAGGATGCACAACTATCCCGTGGAGAAGCATACGGCGGTGACCCAAGATGGTTACATACTTGCCCTCTATCGGATTCCGAACTCTCCTCGCCGTCCCAGCACGTCGGGACCGAAGCCCGCCGTCCTTTTCGTCCATGGCCTGACTTGCTCCTCTGACTACTGGGTGATTATCGGACCAGACCAAGGTCTGCCATTCCTACTGGCCGACGAGGGCTATGACGTTTGGCTGATCAACAGCCGGGGGAACTCCTATTCACGTAAGCACCTGACCATTAGCCCTAATAACAAGGATTTCTGGCGGTTCGACTGGCACGAAATCGGAATATATGACACCACCACCACGATCGACTTTATACTGAGTATGACTGGACAAACGGCTGTCCACTATGTGGGCCACTCGCAGGGAGCTACTTCTTTTCTGGCGATGCTCTCGATGCGACCTGAGTATAATATCAAAGTGAAGACGAGCCATCTTCTCGGGCCGGTTGCTTTCAGCGGAAAAATGCCATCAAAGCTATTCAAAATTATAAAGAATTTTTACCTGAAGCTGAGCGACATGGAGTTGATGTATAATACTCCATTTTGGAGCAGAATATTTTCGTCCCTGTGCAGCGTACTTCTTATAAGACACACATTATGCCGAAATTTTGCCTTTCTGATGTCTGGCGGTCCCTCAAAACATTTAAATACGGTTTGTGATGTCCACTATCCCCTAATCATATCATATCGATACCATATCAGTTATCTTTCCCAGACACTATTGCCGGCGATTGCGGCCACTGCTGCAGCGGGTATTTCAACTCGACAAATTAAGCATTATGCCCAACTTATCGATTCCGGCCGATTCGCCCTCTACGACTTCGGAAAAAGAGAGAATCTCGCGATCTATGGCACTTCAGATCCACCAGACTATCCGCTAAATGAAGTAAACCCTTTGAGCCCCGTTGATTTTTACTATAGCGACAACGATGGTATGGCAGCCGTGGAGGATGTCCTGCTGACCATCAATTCTTTGCCCAACGCACGGGGACATCCTCATCAATTGTCCGAATGGGGTCACATTGACTATGTGTTCGGCAATAATCTAAAGTTTTATGTTAACAATGATATTGTTAACATTGCCAATGCTTTTGAATCTCGTTTAAGCGAAGCTAATCAGCATCACCGCTAATGAATAAGTAAGAGTAGTACCAGTAAGATGCGTATACGATATCTATTAAACTGAAGGGCTCCTTACAAAACGAAAGTCTCAGTGGTAATTTTTATGAAAACTTCCATCCATCCTGCTTTGTTCTGTCCGGCCCTAAGGCAGACCCACCGTACGAACTGGAGACAATTGAATTTTCTGCATGAAAATAACATCATCGATCGTAAGTTTAAAATTAATGTAGTTCTTTCCGGTACGACCTAGAAAGTGGATTGCAATTTCTCTTTGTTTCCACAACGAATTCCTTGCTTAAATCATCTTTGCAGAGCCTAAGATCATCATGATCAAGATATTGCATCTCTACAATTTTCAGTAGCGAATTGTTGTAACAGCTTAATCGAATTTGCAAGGCTTTAAGTTGTATGCGGAACCAACAGCTTGAAAATTCCTACGATCGATTGTTAGTTACAGTAAAGCAATCGATTACATCGGTAACAAAATGTTTATAGGCCTTTTCCTGGTATATTCATGGTACACGTCCGGCGTGAGTGAAAT